TAATATTTCGAATAACTATGAGAAGTCACGAACCAGAAATTGGTTCACCATAACACAGGACTGTGGTCAGTCAAAAGTTGTGCTCCTCACCAAATTTCAAGAAAAAAGTCACATTTTTCTACATATTGACGTAGCTTGTGTGTTTGCTGGGTTCCATTCTGACGAAATCTATTCCTCTTTAGTTCATTTAGAGTGTGTACCAAAGAGACTAAAACATCAAAAGACATGGCATAGTGTTTATCAGAAAATGATTAAACTTCCGAAAATGAAATGGACGCTTTAGTCGGTTTTTTAAAGAATTTATCAATGCATCTTTAACTGTATCACAAGAGATAAACCTATTACTTTCTCATCAAGGACATCTCATCAAAGTGATGAAACTCGCTCCAAACTCATCATCTTGCTTTAACTAGAAGAAGTCAGAATATAATGCGACAGTTATACGAGAAAATCACATTATTGACGCTATCTTCTCACCATTGTCATGCGAATTCTATCATTCCCTTTCCATCATATACATCGCTTCCTTGTAGTGCCTGAGACATGGATTTACATTATGCTTTCTTGGGGTTAATTCCAAATGGATACGAATATCGTACGTTTGCAGTCTGAAATCTAGCATTTATACGGCTGAGCTATTCGTAAATGTATATCTACATCTTACAGATGAATAAAAAGTAGAATTGCAATAATCCTCGTACTGCATACTGAAAACAGTGTAAAGAACAAAAATTAAATACAAAGGATAACGGAGCTGCCTGAACCATAAATAAGAATCCACGCTATTTTGGTGGCATTTCTTTATTAGTTCTTAAGAGTAACATATATAGAGATCCGTCGTAGCCCACGCTGAACATTACGAGATCATATCTCAACATGTGATAATGATATTTTTTGTATTTGCAAATTTTACAGATCTAAGATATTCAATAGCTGAAAGCTGATTTAAGATTTCAACATTTATTCGTCTGTAGGATAACCTTTATGAAAATAAATTTTGTAGCTATATGCTTGAATCATCAGTACCACTCGCGTTTCACGGAGAAGAAACTGTTAAACTCATATTTTATTCACGTTGAATATTTTTAACATTCGTTTAGCGCATGTAGAGCTGCCTTAGAATCATTTATTTTTCAAGTTACCACTGATTAGTACAATATCTTCAAGCGTTTACTCCGAACAGAGAAAAGTAAATAAACAGAATTTTTGTTTTGAACATTCATTTATTTTATCACTGCTCACTAGTTAATTATTGGTAACTTTTTATATTTATGGAGAAAAATAATTGAACAAAATATTAAGGGTCATTCTATGCAGTNTCATCTTTTCTTCACGTTCAATATTTTTACCATTCGTTTAGCGGATGTAGGGCTGCCTTGTAAGGGTCATCCTTGTGCCAATTGCAGAAAATGTTGTGATTGGCAATATACTGGCAATTCGGTAGATTGGCAATGGGTCCGCAATATCAAAAATTGGAAAGAAAGTGATAGGCAGCATTGGAACAATGGTAATTATTACCAGTACTTCCAGCTTCGTGATGGAGCAACATGTGATCGTGGTGGTCGTTATGGTATTGCTCGTAATCTTTATCATGTTGGACTTGGTAGTTTTCTTGGTAGTATTGGTAGTGATGT